AACAGCTCAATATTAATACAACTTAACATAATCTAAATTCTTAATATCAAATGAACAATTAAGAGAATCAATAATAAGACCCAAAGTAGTTGACATAATATTTCCGTTTAACACTCTTTGTTCAGATCCAATAAAAAAAACNTATTTTTATGAGTTAATTCAAATTCAAAGCCAAAATCTCCTACACACCATTTTGCATAAACTTTGAAGTATTTTTGTCAACCTTTTTAGACTCACTAAAGAAACCTTATAGCACTAAATTTTGCTTTTATATTACACCTACTCTATGTTTAAAACAATCATACCCTTAATTTCAATTGCACCTATGCTAAGCAATTGAACCTCCAAGCAACTTATTTGAAAGAATCTAAAAATATTTGAACGATATAGGAATAATAATTTTTATTTTTGAATAATATTTTTTTTTTCATGGTTTGAGAATCTTTCTCTTTCTATTAATTTATTGGAGAGGATTGAAGTTTAATAAATTAAAATGAATAAATGGATTTGCAATTTATCATTTGTTATTAAGGATGAGGCGAGAAATGCCAAGATGTGAAGGACCTGCATGCAAAAAGGAGACGTTTCTAATTGTAGACGAGAGAGAGGTTACGGCCCGCGGGACTCGGAGCGTCCATTCCCCTCTCCCCCTCTTAAATTGTGGAGAGGAGTTATTCCCTTCTCGCGTGTGGTGTGCGCTGCCATCCTCCGCGAGGGGCGATCGACATTCCCAATCCCAGCATCGCTTCGTCGCCGATCCCAGGTTCCTTGCGGAGATATTGAGCTAAAAATCGTGTCTTTTTTTCGGCCGCTTCTTTTTGCTTTTGCGGATCACGGACCCCCCGTTACCCAAGTTTGGGTTTCTTTTCGTCTTCCGGGCTTCCATGGAGGGAAAAAAATGAGAGAGAGAGAGACGACGTTTTGGATAGGTTTGATGGGCTTTTGAGGCGTTGTTGAATCAAGGAATACAAAGTTCCGATCTTTCCTATGTTGTGGTCGTTCGCGATTTTGTCTCGCTTGCAGAAACCGGAATCCTTTCGATCCATGGGCGTTTGATGTGATTTCCCGGTCGTAGGAAAACAATGCTTCTGTCTTCGTCTGTCTTCCTGATGAGGGAAATCACATAACAGCGGTTCCTCTTTGTGTTATTCCGAGGATTCTTGGTTTACGTGCAGCAATTCGACAAAGGTTTGGTTCTTTTGAAGCTCTTGTTTGTTGAGTACGTCACTTGGAGGGTGGGAATTCAGGCTCCTGCAATGGAAATGTCAACTGACAACATTCGGGGATTTGCGTTGGCCCTCTCCTCGAGCTTTTTCATCGGGTCAAGCTTTATAGTAAAGAAGATAGGTTTGAAGAAGGCAGGGATGTACGGTGTCAGAGCAGGTTCTGCTTCTTTTTCCATATTTCATCATTAATTTTGGTTGGACTCCGAATTTATTTTTTCTTCTTGCATATTGCATTTGGGTTCACTAGACGTCTTATATGTGGTTCAGGGATCTAATCTTCTAGATGTCAAAAACGCAGGAGTACATACTTTTAGGAACAAAAGTGCATAATTTGTTTCAACGTGGTTAAACATATAATTCAGTTGCTTTTCTTCTTTCAGGATCTGGAGGGTTCTCGTACTTATATGAGCCTTTATGGTGGCTTGGAATGATTACTAGTAAGTTCCATTATGAGTAGTTCATTTTATTCTGTTACGTTATGCATTCCCAATTACTTGCAGGTTTTGCCTCTATGTTTTTTTTAGTATTGATCTTTTATGACAGTTATAAATACTTCTGAGCAAATGTGTAGGCACCCTTTTAGTTGTGGAAGTGTTTGTAGTAATCAACATGCTAATGTTCTAGTGCAAAATTTAGCCCCTGATGAGATCATGGTCACAGCAAAGATCCATTGATGTACTATCAATGTAATATTGAATTTTCCCAAAGATCTAACTAATGTCTACTCTCTGCTCCTTTTGTTGCTGAATTTAACTGTATCAGTATGTTTTAAGACAAAAACTTCATAATCAATGCAATCCAGAGGTGACTGCATTTTGATTTGCATATATTGAAAGAAAAAGAGATCGATAGATAAGTAGATAGTGAGAAAGAGGAGGGACTAGTAGGAGGCTCAACATATGGGTTGAAATAAGATAAATATGTGGAGTTTATGGACACGGAGTAACAAGGTGAAGAAATTTTTGGAGACAAATTCATTTTTAACATTGCTTTCAATTATTTAACCTATTGATTAGGAAAACCACGTTTTTAGTTTTATCCTTCAACTTTGTCATTATACTTATGTCAGAAATGACAATCATACAAAGTGATTCTTTTTTTAATAAAAAACATGACATTATAGACAGATCGTATGAATGATTAAAACATTTGTTGAAGCTTAGACCTTATCAATAAAATGTGATATTATTTAGTTCTTCCTTGTCAATTAGTTTGTTAAGCTCAGAAAGTTTGATATATTATTTAACAATTATCATCACTAGAGCAATGACTTCCATCAAATTGGAAAACCTATAGACCTTGTTGATATTTGTTCTCTCTGTTGTATTTATTATCTAATATCTATTACATTTGTCTTATTTTATGTAACATAAACAATTCCATTGGGTTGCTTCAAACTTAAGTGGGCTGTACGTGGGTTTTAATTTTAATGACCAATCTATTTCAGCTAGTAACTAATGGATCCTGAACTCAACAAAAATTAACTCATCCCAATTTCTAGTTTCACCACTTAATTTGTACATCAGCATTGTTACATATGCATTGATTCTGTCAACCACTCACAGCAATTTGGTTAATGCCCTAGGAGATGTGGTTGCCAAAATAATCAGATTCCACCTGCATTGGTAAATATCTGTGTTTAATTCTAGCAACCTTCTACCTACATTTTAGTCAGTCTGATGTGACTCACCTAGATCTTCTACAGCTATATTAGCTGATGTGATGATATATCATTTTCTTATCCTGGATTGTCATTGCTAATTAAAGGATGTTCTTTTTTATCTTGTCAATAGTAATTTTAGCAAGAAGATTGTGGAGATATTGTGCCAATTCTTTTTTGATAGCTGTCGATAACATCTAATCGGATCAGTTATTGCCATTTTTAATATAAATTTGATACTGTGGGGAATTTGTATGTGAAATCTGATAATTGCCATCTGTTATTTATGTTTCTGTGACTCTATGTCCTATACTGGGATTATCCTCAGTAATCATTAGCTCTTCTTGAGCCCCTTTATCTCCCATTTCTTGCTCATTTAGATGTGTTGCTTTGGCTTTTTTGTCTTCTAGTGATTGTTGGTGAGATAGCTAATTTTGCTGCTTATGCATTCGCTCCAGCAATACTTGTTACTCCTTTGGGAGCTTTGAGTATCATTGTCAGGTATGGTGCCATATGACTCTTCTAGTAAAGTCCATGCTCGATAATTATATGATCTTGTTTCTCCCTAAATCTATTTTCGTGCAGTGCAGTACTAGCACATTTCGTTTTGGATGAGAAGCTCCACATATTTGGTGTCCTTGGTTGTGTTCTTTGTGTTGTGGGATCTACAAGTATAGTTCTACATGCACCAAAAGAGAAAAACATTGAGTCAGTGAAAGAAGTTTGGTACCTAGCTACAGAACCAGGTACCGACATTTCTAGTTGCCACAAAAGATAACTACATTCACTATTTTCTATTGCGATAACACTCAGTATAGATTTTGAGTGACTATTTACTGTAAACACAATTGAATTGGATAATGCTGTAAAATATATCTGTAGTATGTACACTATATATTTGTGCTATGCCATGTGATCTCTATCTCTACCATTTCTAATTAGTAGCTTTTGTTTTACAGGTTTCATTGTTTATTCATGTGTGGTTGTCATCCTGGTATTAGTCTTAATTATCAGATTTGTTCCACGTTATGGTCAAACACATATGATCATATATGTTGGAATTTGCTCATTGATGGGTTCTTTGACGGTATGTTCAATTGCTTTCACAGCAAGATTTGATCTAAACAAATTATCTTGTTCATTATATATATGTTTGCACAGGTTATGGGTGTCAAAGCATTGGCCATTGCCTTAAAGCTTACCTTTTCAGGAATGAATCAATTTGTATTTGCTCAGACATGGTTTTTCACGGCTGTTGTGGTCATTTGTTGTCTCCTGCAGTTGAATTACCTAAACAAGGTAATTGGACAACTTTATCATGCAAATCCAATGCAATATGCACATCTGTGATTTATGATTATTGGAGAAATAAAATTGGATAATGGAACTTAATCATATCTTTGCTATCAAGTATTTGGAATTTTGCAGTTCTGGATTTTCTAAGTAATACAGTATCTTTCCTATCAATTTTGGATTTTTTGGCAGTCCTGGAGTTCTGGTTAAAATAAAGTTGCTGGGAAAATGGTTGCTCCAATATATATTGTATATTACATGAAGTTTCTCCAATTTTATATTGGACCTTCATCAACTGTTTGGTGTCTTTGAATGCAAAATTAATGGTTGGACAAGAAAAACTACAAATTCACTTGTAAGTTTGTAATTCTTCCTAGTGCTTTGAACTTTTAACATACGCCTTCAATGTGCAGGCTCTGGACAGTTTCAATACTGCAGTGATTTCTCCTGTCTACTATGTGATGTTCACATCTCTTACTATATTTGCTAGCATGATCATGTTCAAGGTAATCTACGAGGTGAAATGCTTTCCACATCTATTCTAGTATTTTTCTTTCTTATTCTTAAGCCTAATATGCCTTGTAGCCCATTTTGTGAATAAAAGTCGAGTTAAGAATGTCTAATTCTTGTATTTGATATTATGCTCTCATGTTACACTGTAACATATGCCAGCAAACTTTTTTTCTTAGAGACATCCTCGTCACACTGACATTTTGGGAAAAACATACATTGTTCTTCTGAAATTAAGATTTTGATGCTTGGTTCTTGAAGTTTTGGCAATTTAATTTTTTTACCTGTCTATCAAGTTTGGTCATTAGTTTGACATTCCATGTGTCTCTCAGTTGGCAATCATTTTTTATTACTTTTTTTTTCCAGGATTTGCAAAAACTTTGTTTGGTAATAAGGAAATCTTTTATCATTTAGTTATTACTTCTTCTGATCATATTCTATTTATTTTGGTATCAAGTTTAAATTAGTTGTTAAATGATTGATGCAGTTTAAACCTTCTCCCACATTTCATCCATACTTAACCTAATTTGTTTGTTTCCAGGACTGGGCTTCACAGAATGCATCACAGATTGTCACGGAACTTTGCGGGTTTGTTACAATTCTTTCAGGAACTTTCCTTCTGCATAAGACCAAGGACATGGGAGAAACTATAGACCCAGAACCAACTATATTGTCAGAGACAGAACTTTCAAATGAGACAGAATTTTCAAACCACTAAATACCCCTACTTCAATTTCTCCAATCATTCTTATGATCCACCAAGTCTCTTGCGGATGAATTTGGGATTCCCAGCCTTTTATCTGTGGATGTGACTTCTAGGCCAACTAAATTCATTAAGGTGCAACAAGGCATGCTTCAGGAACTCAAAACACTGACACAGCTAGAGGTGAGTTTTCACACTTTCCTGGATAATATGTGCAGCAAAAAATTGTTCCGAGTAAAATGATTCTGAAAACTAGTCAGCAGACAACAAGACCCATGAATTGAAGCACTGCTTGTCCTAACTTTTGGGTGGATAGGCCATTTTATTTTTTTCTGTACATATGAAGGCTTCTTGCAACTAATTCTAGATCAGAATGAAGTAAATACTTTTGCCAGCCTTAGTTTTTCTGTCATAAGCCTTAGCATAAGCATGCAAATTTCATTGTCATGGTTGTATGTTCACCTACATCCTTCATGAATTTCATCTTTTATGATGTTTATTTTTTGGTTATCATGAAGACATAAAAGACTTCATACTGTGACAATAATACAGATGAAAAATGTATGCCCTTATGAGTTAAATTCTAATTATAAAAGAAAAGGTTTTTGTATGTAGGTAAAACTTATAGAGAGGTCATAAAAAATTTTAAAATAAGAGTGAATATAAAAAACCAAGATACAAATTTAAAATTAATTAAGAAAGCAAAATAATATATATAGACAATAATAATCTTGACAATGGCATTAGGATTGATGACAGTGGTTGTCTATTGCTGCTGCTTCTGTAGCAGCTCCTCTGCATGCTAAGGTTGATACTGTATCTACCAAATGCAGCAGTGCAAACTAATAGATAGGAAGCATAACCATTGAGCAAATTGCGACACATTCACAGAACTGTTGCAGCATTGAGGTTCGGTTGAGTACGTCATATTTATGTAAAGCTGTTCCCATAGTGCTGCAATAAGTAGGACTGCAGTTTTAGTACTGAGGAAAGGAAATGTAAATGCATTGAGGTGGATGTAGTCAGATCAAAGGCTAAGGCAAACATTTATCTAGCAGTGTAAATAGTTTTAATCAACTGCAAAAAACCAGGAAAAGTTAAGCAGGGCTATCATGATGGAGAGAGGGGAGAAAGTAGTCACTTTGAGAGGAGACAATGCATGATGACTGGAGAGAAAGAGAGAGAGAGAGATAAATGGGGTTTTCATGGTGCTGCTGTAGGTAGCATAAATCATTGCTAGAAAAGTTTGTGTCCTTATTGATCAAAAATTTCTGGGGCAACTCTGCTTGGCAGTGTGATGTTGTCATATTGTGATCAATAATATAGGATGCATAACATCTGCCAGTACTCTCTTCCGGCCAAAGCTGTGATGTTCTTCAAGCCAATTGCTAGTAGAAGATGCTTCTTTCATTAAAGAAAAGCATCGTACTAGAGGTGTAAGAAAACATTGACCCACAACTTTTTAATTGATCCCATCAGGTGATGATAAGAAGATGTCATTAGTGAGAATATTGCCAAAACGCACAAAACCAGTAGCAGAGTTGGGTAATACTTCAAAGAGCAACTAAAATATTCTGATAGATAGCACTATATTTCTTTTTACAGAATTAACAGATCATTTATTAGCTAAATTTTGTGACTTACTGCCACTATGAAACATCTTCATTTCCTTTAGAACTTTAGATATCTTCATCAAATTGTGTTTCCTCATTCCCAGGTTCATCTTACCAGTAGATAGCCTCAGTGCTCGAAGGCAACACAATTGCCCGACTGCTGCTTCCTCTTGTTCTTCTTCTTCTTCTCCAACATCAGCTCTCTTTGCTTTCTTCTTCGCCTTCTTCTTTCGAGCGCCTGCCTCACCAGCATTAGCCTCGTACGCCTCCCAGAGCAGATCCATCTCTTGGCCACCTTCGCCCACCTTGCCCTGTTTGTACAGCTTGTGCGTCATTCGTTCCTCGTAGAGCTTGCAAGCCAATGTCCTCTTCCACTCTCTCTCCTTCCTCACCGATCCATACCTCTGAAGACTCTCGGTGGTTCCACTGATGCTGTGCGTTCTTCTCTCCGACATGGATCTTGTTAGATGTTCTCCTGCCCCCGGCTTGTGCTCCACAGCTTCACGCCCTTTGGGATGCTCTGCTACTCCATTAATGGGAACGAGGTTCTCGCCATCCGTGGCTGGAGTTCTGCTTTCTCCGCTCCCTACCTGACCTGGATGCCTCTCCTCTGCTTCATGACCAGAATAAGCGCCCTCCACGAGCTCACCAAATGGCCTGGTATTATCGATCGGTGACAGAACCATCGACGTAAACTGCTCCACCAGGTCGAGTTCCCCATTGTCTTGGAGCTTGTCCTTGAGAACGTCGAGGACGACGCAGCAAGTTCTACCGAGGAAATCCGGTGGCGCCGCCGCCGGAGGCGCCTCGTCTGGGTAGGGGGAGACCGTGAGGAGAACCAACAGGAGGATCGAAGTAGAGAGGAGGAGGGGAGAGAGGTACGAGAGCAAGTGGAGAAGGTAAGGTAAGAAGAGGAGCAAGTAGGCCAAGTGCAAGGGATGGGACGTGAAGAAGGTGCACAAGGAGATGAAGTCCTCCAAGAGGTAGGCCGGAAGAAGACTGGGAGTGCCATAAGTGCATAGCTTAGGCATGTCTTCTTCTCCCTCAGCCTTGTTTGGAGTCTGGTGTGGTGAGGAAGAAGAAGAGAAGGATGCAGCAAGAAATGATTGCTGCTGTTTCCTTGTATTCGGTGGCAAAAGTGCCATGAACAGAGGAGGGGACTAGGGAAGAAGATAAATAGTGCTGCAAACATGGCCACAGTTTCCTATTCTGCGTCCTCAAGTTTGGCCATTCCCATAATGCAGCTTTGGCTACTAAAGATAACAGAGCATAGTTAGGAAGCAAAATCATGATAATTTGAGCCTTTATCTTTGGATTTATTTGAATTAGGGACAGCTAAACAAGAGCTCATGAGGAAGATGAGAGATGGACGAGGTGAGGGAATTGGGTTTACCTACAGATGAGCATCATTGAGGGCAACTTTTGTCCTTGAGCTCATGTCCAGTCTGCTGTTCTTTCCTTCAGGTCTCACCACCTCTACATGCCCTCTACTTTTGGTTCAGGTTATTACTCTCATTAATGCAAACACCTGCCCCTCAACCTGCTTCTTGTGTTGTTAGACCTTTCGTTGCTCTAAGAGGGCATGCCACACTGTTGCCTTCCATGTACCCCAAACAAGCGATATGGAAATATAAGTGGCCGTCAAAGAAGAGATAGAAGATGTCTTACCTTTCTTCCCTGTCTCTCCTTCCTACTTAATTGAGCTTGATTTGATTGCATTGATTTCATTCAACTTTATTTGAATATTACATTAGTATAACTCATAATATTATGCAAATCTAAATCTAACCTTAGACCTACAAATTCTTTCCTTTTTTTATTATTAGGATTTATTATTAGCAAAACAACCTCAAAGTCAAAATAATAATAATAAAAGAGAAGCTATCTGTCTCTTAGTCATAAACATCTGACAAATTGTGTACGCTTTTGGGTTCCTACATTTAATACTTCTTCATTGTGGATGCGCGTGGGCCGCTTCCCCATGTGCTTCTTTTATCATGGTCCTTTAAAATCAGCAAACCCATGCATGGAGTAACATCATTGTATACAACACAGCCTTTATTACACTCAAAGACTCGAAACTCCTTCCCACCCACCACGTTTGACAATCTCTCTCTCTCTCTCTCTCTCTCTCGCTCTCTCTTGATGCCGTGTTGTTGCACTTCCCGTGAACTCCATTCACCCACCACCTTTAAGACTCCCTGTCCCTCCCCACTCTCTCTCTCTCTCTCTCTCTCTCTCACGTTCTATCTTTGCATGCGTTCTTGTTGCATTCATGGGTACGTCAGCAGCAGTAGAAAGCCCGAGCAGCGGGAGGAGGAACCGCAACAGGAGCGCATCCCCTTCACCGGAGTTCGAGTTCTGGGTCGATGCCAACCCCTCGTCTCACCAACCCCAGCTCCTGACCGCTGACGAACTCTTTTCCGACGGCCTCCTCCTCCCCCTCGGCCTCCTGTCCCTCCCCTTGCCTGGCCACACCCGGACCGCCGCACGCCAAACCGAACCAGCTCAGCAGCCTCCGCCTCTGCCGCCGGCACCGAAGCCCATTACGGCATCCGCCTCGTGCTCGTCTACCTCGGAGTCGAAGCGGTGGAAGGACATGTTTAAGGTCGCGGAGAGGAAGGGAGTGGAGGAGAGGAAACTGCTGAAGGACCGGAGGAGCGGCGCCGCCGTGCTCAACATCGGCATCTGGCCTTTCTCCCGGAGCCGCTCCGCCGGGAGCGCCACGACCTCTGGCGGCCGACCCCGGGCCGCGGCCTACGGCCGGGAGGCCAGCAGCGCTCCCTGCTCGCGAAGCAGCTCTCGCGGGGAGTCCTCCAAGCCCGCCTCCCCGTCGGCTTCGGCGGCAGCGGGCGGGAGGAAATGGGCCGCCAGCCCGGGCCGGGCAGACGGGGTTCACTTCGGCCGGTCCAGCCCGGTCTGGCCGTTCCACTGCGGCTCGAACGTCGTTGAACCGGTAGCCCGGAGGCGACCCGACCACCGGCGTAATGTCACCGCCCGAAAGAAAGGTAACGGCGGTGGCGTCGGGCTATGGTGCTCAACTTAAGTGTGAACACTTGCATCGACCTGCAGTGGTGACGATAGGACAGGGTTCACCGGCAGTGACCGCACTCCTATCAGTCTCAAGTGCCGATGATGATGATGTACATTAGTTTTCCTCTTCCTTAAAACTTTTTTAACATTTTCTTTTGTTACTGTGGATTATAGCCATAATTATAAGTAATTATGTACATGAAAGCAATCTACATCTTTAGTCTATTATCTCATTATAATGTACTTATGGCTGATTCCAACCTCGGCGACTGGAGCAAGATAAGCTTCAGCTACAGCAGCAATTGGTAGCAAGTTTTTTGGCAGGTTTGTGTTATGTGCCATGTCCAAGATTAGTTTTTTGTCCTCGTCTTCCACGCCTTGTGTTTGTTCATGTTCCCCGGTAGAGATCAATGTGCCTTCGTCTTCTCCCTCATCGTGATGCTCGAGGAAAAGAACTGTGACATGATGCAACGTCCACCAGCTGTTCGACCTTTTTACCACACAAATTTGCGTGATTTCTTACCTGCATTTAGTGGATCTGTCTATTTCCATTTCCATTAAGAATGGTGGTGTGGAGTGGTGTGATCCATCGATGAGAGGAGGTTTCGATCTCGTCACGGGGATTCTCTTCGTCATTTGATCGATCATCTCGTGTGCATAAACTCCACAGATCGAGGTAATTATGGAGGGTTAAATTAATATGGATTTTACCGGGATGAGGGCAAATATGTTATTTTCACACTGTCAAAGGATAGACATGTAAAAGCGCTTGTTCTTGTTCGCCTCTAGGAAGACATGCAGTCTATGCGTTCTTCGAATTTGATCATGAGCCGTTCATCCTTTAACACGAATCTTAACAGGCGATGTGCAGGATGAACTCAACCCTCGAGCTGAGGTAGCGTCGTGTCGAAGGCCCTCCGCCTCACCAGAAGGCAGGTGACCTTGGAAGGGTTGGCGTGGGTGTTGTCGAGCGTACACAACACGAAGTCGGGCCTGTGCAGGGCGAGGCTGAGCCGATCCTCCCCGACGACGAGCGCCGCAGCGTCGAGGAGCACGTGCCACGAGTTGCGGTGCGCCTCCGAGACCCAGTGCATCGAGTACCGCGCCCCCCTGGACTCCGCCGGGTAGGCGAATAGCCCCTTGGGCCTCTGCTTGCTCTTCCTTCTGAAGTATTGGCTCAGCTGCGAGCCCTTGATCCTGAGGTCCAGCCATGTCGCCGGCGCCGCGATCACTTTCGCGTCCTTGTACGCCGCGAACTCCCGCACGCAGTCCGCCTCCTCGTCGAGGATGGACATGTAGTAGTTGTGACGGAAGAAGGGGTAGCTCTCCCCGACCAGCATCATGGCGTCTCGGTAACTCGGCGCGAAGAGCACGACGTAGTCCTCGTCGGTGAGGCCGCAGTGTCTGAGAACGCGGTTCTGAGCTTGGATCTCCGGAATCGATATGAAGCTCCCAGGGAAGGAGGACTTCCTGGCGAGGATGTCGAGGAGGCGTGACGGCTCCAATCGAGTCATGTCGAGGTCGGGGTGGTTGCTGGCCATGGAGGGAGAGCAGGAAGCTTCCCTTGCTCCGCCTGGGGACTTGTCGTTGCAGTAGGCGGAGTACAAGTCGTTCTTGTCGCCTTCCTCGATCAGGCCTTGAGAGTACTGCGGATACTTCGCGAGGACGTACTGCTCCACGTACTGCATCTCGGTTGGGGTTATCGGCCCTGACCACCTCAGATCGAGGCCGCGGAGTGTGGATATGGCCTCGGCCACGATGTGGGGAGGAATGAACTCGCGAGGACATACCTTCTGGTGTTCATCGCACGCACGGTGTTCGACAGAAGTTGCAAATCAGTATTCGTACAACTTCGCTTCTTCTACATTCCTAAGAAGTTCTGAAGCAGAGCAAGATGAGATATTTACCTTGACAACCATGCTATTTGGTCTTGAATTTGGTAGAGGTGATTTGGGCATCGAGCTAAAGATCGACTCTTGGCAATCCTTTCCTTCCAAACTCTGCACGGAGTTGTTCTGTCAGAATTCAGGATGTAAACTGGAGGAAGAGCTTCTACTTCTAGAAATCTTTCTACAAGAACATACCTCATATTTAGCATGGAGAGCGATAGATTCCTCCACATTTCTGCCCATGCTTCCTGATTCTTTAGCTCAGGCGGGCTACAAGAATTGAAGTGTCTTGCTACCTTATAGTCTCAAGCAAGAAAGAATGGAAGGAGAAAGAGCAACGCCGCCAATGAGTGGAGCAATTCTGAAGCTCTTGATCTTTCCAATATTATGAGTGGGTGGCATCAGCATATGCTTGATTCCTTCAATATACAAAGATATAACATCATTCAGCATGTAACTTTGGCTTCTGATAGGAGGATGATTTCAGAGTAAATGAAATGGTTCTTTGATTGGGTCACAGCTTAAACAAGTGAAGAAATTTGGTCTAGGAATAGGAGCCCTGCTCTGTTGGTTTAATTATTAGGAGAACTAGTTCCACCAATATGAACAGAAATGAGTGATCGGAAGAGGTCAAAGTTAGGTGAAAAGGTAGAGAATTGAAATAAATATTTTGCTTCTTTTGATGGGAATAGGCTATGTCAGTATAAGAATTTAATAGCCTTGAAGGATAATGACCTGTTCTGGAGTCTTGTGAGGATGATGGAAGGTGCAACAAGAGAAGGGACCCATTCAATTTTCTAAGTTTGGAGAGGATGGAACCTTGTTGGGAGAGAGGCAAGAGGTTGTCATGAGATCAGAAGAAAGCAACACATCAGAAAACTTGTTGAATTGGTAACCTAGATGTTAGTCCGCACTTTCTACTTTCCTTTTGGTTCTTCTACTCTTCTACTAAGTAATTTAGTTAACTATCCACCATTTGTGTGTCTTTCGTGACAACAGTTGTCTGATTGAGAAATGGATCGATTGTGGTGACAATCAGAGCCAAAGATGGTGGAGTCTCTCAAGCTTTTGAAAAAGACATCAATTTTTGTCTATTCAAGCGGGTTGGGTATGTCAAAATTTCAAGCATTAATTTTTCTTTTTCTTTTAATTCTTAATGCATATCCTTATAAAATTTTGATGTTTCAATATTTTTGCCTCTTCTTTTACTTCAAGTTGCATGATGAAGTGCATCAATTCTAAATTTGGATTTCTTTTGACATATAAAACTGCATGTGTGAAAAACTAGCTCATCAATTTTTTTGGGTATATTAGGAGACTGATATAACTTTCTGAACAATCTACACACTATTTTAGTTTTCACAAAGAAAAAGAACTCAATGATGGAGTCCAAGGGAACTTATGCAATTCTTCCTTAAGCTTTTCCAACCAGTATTTCATGCACTTTAATTCTAGTATCAAATAAATCCTTTTGTCATCAGTATAGTAGACATGGTTCTCTTTAGCAGAATTACTCTGCAGTATGAGCACATTGTGTAGGATTCAATAGATAAATGCCATTTTAACTTAGCCTGACATCTTCTTATCTCTGCTGAAAACTACATGTTACCATTTAAGTTTGTTTCCCAGACAAATCACAGATAAAACATAAAGTACACCACAGACACACCTAATAAAACCTGATCAAATTATTTTTCCTTAAGAACACATTCTCATCACATGTGAAAAGCTTAAAAATGGAGCTAACTTTAACAATAGGGGAAAAGGTTTTAGAGAGGTTTCAAGAATACTCTAGAGCAACTGGCTTTGCTTCTCAATGTATCAGAGTTGTTCATAGGTAGCATGAGATTAAAGATCATGATAATTCAGTCAACTTGCTTGAATGTGCTAGTGCCTCAGATGCTAGGAACTTGAGAGCACATAATGACAAGAGATCAAGGTCATCGAGACCAGAAAACTCTGAGAGAAATTTTTCTTTAGTCAGTACTATTTGTTTGAATCCAAAACAATGGAGTCAGCAATCAAGTGGCAATTGGAAACATCATGGTTGGCTAAGTCACCATCATCACCTTTTCATTGATGGGACATCTAATTAAAAACATAAATCTCTACCTGCTTCAGAAACACTATTTCAAGTATTGCTCATAACTAAATCACTAGGCTAGCTATGGAATAAATCCCTGGGAAGTTTCATGGAAGCTACCGAGCGTGGTATGAAAAGGAAGCTCTCTTTTGCATCATATTTTTTCTATTGATCCCAGTAACAAGTTGCTCTCGTAAGATTGAAGCATTCATACAATCAAAATCCTAAGGTCCTGACTTGTTCATCGAAGAGCATTCAGTATTCAGATTATGGAGGTCAATGAGAAAACAAAATCAGAGGATGTATGAGGATTTTGAACCTGCATGTGAGTTAAGAGACAGGGCTAGGATATGTTGGCGGGCCTGCAAGTAAATAGACAGACTATGATCTTGTCTAAACTTTAGAGAATCGGATGTGTTTATAGAATTAGATCACATATTCTACTGGGCAAGTCAACCTAAGATCAAGTAAATTAATTGTCTTTAGTAAAGCAGAAGGCAAAAACAAGCCAATCTGTTGCTGGGGTGAAACTTTTGTATAGGTTGCTCAGGAAAACACTCCTCCCAGGTACAAATAGATCTGTTTGATCCTAGCAACATGGTGCCATGCTATGTTCAAAATTAGATATACATAAGAAGTCATCAATAAAATCACCAACTTTCTGATGTCTGTAAGCCAAATTCATAAATAGAAAAGTTGGTTTCCAAATAGAAATATTTGTAGTACCATTACCAATAGATTCTAAGGCACCTTGCTTAATTTCTTCAACATTCTCACATAGAAATCTTCATCTTCAAACCAAATTCTCTCTGGCTTCTATGTGCCATGAGGAGAATTCCCCATATTTAGCTGTAACAAGGTTCCAACCAAACAAAATGCAGCTTTTGGAAGTAAATAAGAATTCTCTTAGTTAGTAATAGAGTATTGAATACTATTTTCTCCCATATGAAGTCTCGAATAACAGTTTTAGAAGTATATGTTTGAACTATGAACAGGTTTTTTAAGATTGAGCAGTCTTAATCATAAATGTGAGAGTTTCTCTCTGCGAGCCTCACGTTTAAGTTACTAGTTAATCATAAATGGCAATAACTCTGATCAAATTCATGTTTTATTCGATGCCCTTACACACAGTAATAAATCAACAACAGATGACAGATGAGCAACTCTGGACTTGGATTTGATATTTCGAGGGAGTCTTCTTTTCTCAGTCATAAAACAGATGAGAATAACTGAGGGAGGTTAACTGATCTGTAAAAGCTATATTCACATTTGAAGTTTGAATTCCATGGAAGAATCAATTTCTTTAGTCTGATATATCTGAAAAAATAGTCTAAAATGTTTAAGTTTGAATCAATGATAATAAAATCATCGTTAAGGTTGGTTGGATTTTAGTTATCTATTTAGATCTTACTATTCATGGTCTTTTTTTTAAATAATGACAATCTCTTCATATTTTTCTTTTCTTTTTTCTTTCCCCCCACAACCTTTTATTTCATCCTTTTTATTTACATCAATTTTTAAAAAGATAATTTGGAAATTAAAAAATAAAATTATAAATAGTAAATTTGGGGTCACAAATAGGAATCTTTTAGTCAGAAGATTAGAACCGGATATGGTCCAAGTCTTGTCCGAAACGGACAGTCTCAATTCCCTTTCCACTCCCAAGCGATTAAAGTCTTACAAAGAGATAACGCTTCGGCTGAGAGACCAAACACCGAAGAGGGGCCTCCCATTGGTTTCGAACCGTGCGCCCCAACAGGTTGATCCTCCAGCCAAAATGGGGGAGACGGCCGCCTGCTGTGTCATGGATTTCTTCCCACGGTGGAGCGGTGGAGATGTGTGTCAGCCCTTCGTCTACAGCGAAGCCCCACACGACTCTCCAATCCACCACCATCCAAACCCAGCCCGCCCTCTTCTTCCCACAAGAGGGCAAGCAACCCCGGTGACCCTCGTGACGCCGCTACCTTCCCTCCCTCTCAAATAACTTCTCCCCCAAACCCAATCAGTTCCCAGGTGCAGCGATTTGGGCGCCAGACGCGACGAGGCTTCTCCCATGGCCGGCCCACTGGTCCTCGCATCGCAGCTGGCTGCCGGGCTGGGCATCATCGCCGGAGCCATGATCGTGAGGTCGGCCGTGGTCCACCGCCCGACATCAGGCAAGCAGCCACGGTGCACGACGTGCAATGGCACCGGCCGCATCACGTGCCTATGCTCGCGGTGGTCGGACGGGGACGTCGGATGCCGGACCTGTGCCGGCTCAGGCCGGATGGCGTGCAGGAGCTGCGGCGGTACCGGGACTGGCCGACCAATCCCGGTTCGAGTCCCGATGCAGTCGAACCGGCCCTCATAAGATACGTATCTTCGTTCTCTGATGAAGACATTCGCATGTATATTTTCCACTGCTTCAATTTGATGTGGTAAGTACATGTAGCAAATTACTGCTTGAAGTTCCATATAAAAATGCCTTCTTTAAACGCCTCTTCTTTTTCTAGTAAATGAATTTTTTTTGCCCCCTCCCTATTGGAAGAGTGTGTAGTAGTTTATATGACAACTAGAGAAAGTAGAGAATCACAAGGAATCATCTTAAATGATATAATAAAGCTCTGTATATCCTACACATATATAATGCTAAACGGAAATATTATGTCAACTACTTTGGGTCTTATTATTGATTCTCTTAATTGTTCATTTGATATTAAGAATTGTGATTATGTTAATTTGTAATAATATTGAGCTGTTGACAACTATTTCTCGGGAGTTTAGTACTATAAACAGAGACAAACTCCCAATCATATCATATTTAAGAGAAATAATACGGAGAAAGGGTAGCAGAAGAGCCTTAGGCTCTTCATATTTAGTTATCGATAGACTTCAAATCACAAACAAAATCGACATGTACACTGGCAAAGGCATGAAATCAGATCCAATTGGTGGCCGAAAACCCAAAGATGCGAAAAAGGAGACACTGAAAAAACTAAGAAACCAAAAAAAAAAAGATCGATTTCTGAAAAAGATTAAAAAAATGTTAGAGCTTAATATTGATCGGACCATTTCACCCAATCTAAACTTCCATCATGACATCATAGCAGACCGTGAATTCGTCTCTCTATGTTCGATTAAAATTTATGTAATATTTTTCTTTAATTCGCACGTATTAAACCTAATCCAATTTGCATTTGAGAGGGATATTAGGGTCTGATATAAATTGGAGAGAGGAGCCACTAACCAGGCAAAAGATGAAGACTTACATTCGGAGAAGACGAAGTGGTCGTTGTCAAGGCGACGAGCTCGATTGCCGCTACCACGAATGCCTCTTATGCTCGTCGGAGCACGTTCATCTACCCGCTCGGATCCTTTCGTCGCCCCCATATTCATTGCTTATCCCCTCACTTGGAGGTGGACCGAAGACAAGAGAGAGAGAGAGAGAGAGAGAGGGAGGGAGGAGTCGAAGATATTCAAACGCATTCGCTTGGTTGTCAAAATGTTCGGATTCAGATTCAAATTGATCAAGAAGTGAACCGGATCCGATTTGTTTGCGGATCTAGGTCTCTCTTAGCCCTAAATTTATTTGTTATATATATATATATATATATATATATAAACATACGTTGACTTTGCAATAATGATGTTTCCTTGTAGAAATTAGATTTTTCTTAATGTATTATAATTATTTTAATAATTTTTTTCAGGAATATGTGAGGAAGACAGGATTCGATCTTAGCTAAACTATGTGACCTTTCGAAAATTTATAGGAAGTATATATATATATATATATATATATATATATATATATATATATATATATATATATATATATATATATATATATATATATATATATATATATATATATATATATATATATATATATATATATATATATATAT